CACACACACACACACACACACACACACACACACACACACACACACACTTGCATACCAGTGTTTCCCCTAGATCAATTGTCTTGGCAGGGCGCTCATCTCACTGTGAGAAGCGGAGGAGTACCTCTGTAGCTTTTTAGATAGCGCATTGGTATTGCGCGCTGCTAGCTTAGCATTACATCAGTGCCAGCAGCTGTTGGGGGGGGGGGGGGGGGGAGTTCGGTTTGGTTCTGTTGACAGAGTGGGCGCCCTGCTAGCATAAAGGTAGTGGAAGTACTGCATACAGTATAAACACACATGCATGTTCTTACATATACCAGCGTTTCCCCAACTGTCATCCAAGGAGGGTGCCCCGCCCTGTCAACAGAACTGAGCGTCCTGCCTACCGAAATATCCTTCACCACTCCCCCACCCTGTCGACAACTGCCGAACTGAAACAGTGCTAAGCTAAGAAAACATAATGCAGACGTGCTAGCTAAAAAGCTTCAGAAGTAGCGCTCTGCTTCTCTCAAGCGTTAAATGCATAAAACGCAAACAAAGTATTTATTTTTTCTATAACTTGCTTCATAAAGCCACACCCACTACTCTGGTCAACTGGTGTTAAAGGTTTATTAGTGCCTCCGTGCCTTATGACTCCAACTTGTGCTAATCTCAAGCAGCTTTTTGAAAGCCTGACACTCATCTCAGTCTTAATGTACAGTACATCAACTTGAAAACAACAAGAGCTACAGCATTTGTGTTATGTTGAGCTTACCAGCAGTAGATCCATGGTGGCAAGATTGCAAAGCTCCTGGCAGATATTGGGTACACTGGTTTGCAACAGGGAGGCCACCAGTCGGGCCACGTGAAGGCGAGCGTTCCCCAGTGGCTGCTCTAGAACGCCAACAGTCGTCAGTATTGCACTTTTCTGTGAAGGGAACAGACCAGAACTCAAGCCTAGACACAAAAGTTTGTTTTAATCAAGCAAACAAAATACAATAAAAACAGCAGGAAATAATATTAGACTGGAAACATGAAGCACCAAAACAATTTATCACTTCACTTTTCTAAAGCACCAGATGGTGAACAACATTAAAACCAATCTGTGAGCTTTGCGTCATGATTTGGCACTGCATTGAGGCGGTTACCTTAGGGGGATCCAGAAGAAGCTGCTGGAAGTCCTTTAAATGGGGCTCAATGGCATTTAAAATACTGCTGTTGACAGTGTAAGACCTTTCGTAACCCTGAGAATACAGATCCATCAACCCTTCCAACCTGATGGAGACAAGCAGACAAATAAAACCACGTCAGGTTTGCAAAAATCAAATCTCAGTCGATGTCAAAGAAATCACTCAAAACAAAAACAAAGAAGAAGATTCCGTGATTTCCTCAATAGCTTCAGAAAGTACCAATATAATATTACTGCACTAAACTCCTAATCAATTATCCACATTGTTATCTAGTGTTTCCCCTACCATTATGCAAGCGGGGCGCCCCGCCCCGTCAACAGAACCAAGTGCCCCGTCTACCGAACCCCACCCCCAACCACCAGTCGGCACTGACGTAACGCTAAACTAGCGGCTCGCAATGCAGGTGCATTAGCTAAAAAGCTAAAGGCAGCCTCTTCCTTCATGCTGAACCCTCACGCTGAACGCACCCCCGCCACTCGAAAACTGTCGGTACAAACAGCGCACGGCTGCCTCTGTGTCCCCTACCCCCCCCCCCAAACCGTTGGTTTAAAACGCGCGCGCCCCCGCTTCGGGACGGTCCCCCCCCCCCCCCCCGACAAAAATCACGTACGAGATGAGCGCCCCGCCATGGCAAGTTATCTAGGGGAAACACTGTAGACTGTAAACACTTTACTGTCTATGGTCTTTTGGGTACACGAAATTCAAAATGTGTGGTATAGTTTGTCACAAATTACTCGGACAAGGTCAGTGTTACTACGCCAATGTGGACTTCCTGAGACCGTTGAATAGATCAGTCCGGCTGACTCACATCTTGTCAGTAAGTTTACTCAACTCCCAACAGACTTGGAATAAGCCTGGAGAACAAATGAGACATACTAATCAGAATGATGAATATATCCAGCAGCCTCATCGACAAACTGGTGTTGTACAAAAATGTAGGGGTTTTAATTTATATAGCAAATAAAATTTAGTGCTCTTTCAAATTAATATGGTATTTCTGCCTTTGAAACGCTATAAGAGGCACCAGTCTGGGTAGCCAACAGCTTGACAACTGTAGGACGACTTCGCCCCTTTCTACAGACTCCTTTTTTATGACAGATGTCATGATTGAAGAAGTACCTACTATTGTTAACCATTTAATCACATGTGTGGTATAGCTCAGTTTACATAAACACTGTGCACTCCAGTTTATTGTATTTAAGGCTGCAAAGCCGCACACCGTAAAGGGAACCCATTAGAACTGAACCATAACATAAGAGTAGGTTGTCTCAAGTCACAACTTTTGGGACTTAGTTAAATTTTTACAACTTACAAAGCCTCCACTAGTCATGGCTGTTTTTGCAGCAAAAGAGAGGAGGGGGCTGTAGATAGGTTGTCATAATGTTATGGCTGATCGCTATAGGAGGAGATATTGATTCCAAAATTAAATTGATAATTTATTAGCAGATGGTCGCTTGTCCTGAGCCTGGTTCTGCTGGAGGTTTCTTCCTCATGAGGGAGTTTTTCCTTTCCACCGTTGCCTCTGTGCTCGCTTAGGATGGGAGACTGCGATGAAGTGAAAACTCAAAGCAGTCTGTTGGCTCCTCAGATAAATAATGTTCTTAACTGACTTTATATGTGAATATTTCCGTACAGTACGCCGAGACAACTTCTGTTGTGACTTGGCGCTATATAAACAAAATTAATTAATTAAAAAGCTCACACTCACCCAGACCTTCTCGTCTCCAATAAGGTAAGTAGCACTTGAGTTCCATTAACAATGGAGACCTCACTCCTCTCCCCCTCAAACATATTGTTGAGAAGCTCTGCTACGGTCTCCTGCCTGAAAGAAGCAGAAATAGAAAGTAACAAAAGCTGACAAACAAGTTTCTTTTCTTCAAGGTTCATGCTCAATAATCCAGGTAAAAAAATCCATCAACATTCAGTCAGGTCATCTGGACAGGTGGTTTTATTGTTGTTGTTGAGAAACTATTCTCCGTTCATTCGAAGGGCTTCATCAGTCTGAGGAGTCACAAACAAACTGTTTTCCTCACCAAGTGGCACACTCCTTTAATGGACCAACCAGTTTGCTGGTGATAAAATGGTTTCTGGGGGCCGTCCTCTCCCCCGTCGACTCCTCTCAGGCACACGGACAAAAGTTTTTTTCGATTTGGCTATTTGAAATGTCCTTCCCCCCCCGACCCACTCGACAACTGTCAGCACTAACAAAGGGCTACAAGTCTAAAAAAGTGAAGTCTGGTCCTCTGGACATGGTGTCCAGAGGACCAGACTTAACTTTTTTTAGATTTTTCTACCTGGATTATTGAGCATGCATCAGGATAAAGGGCTACAAGCACCGTTTCACCTCTACTCCAGAGTACCCTCTGAAGAGTGGTATCCTCATAGTTTCTTTCCTTCTAAATCAAAGGACCTCAGTGCTCAATCAGTTTGTTACAGACACCAATTATATTTTGTACTAATATATTTTATTGGTTGTATTGATTTTATTAATTGTATTATTTAATGTTTGTATATGAAACAACCGTGTCTCAACGTGACTAACCTGTATAAATAAAAGGAAATTAATTAATCAGACAAAAGTCTCAAAAGGAAACCTCGGTACATTTTCTCACTATAATAACCATAAACACATTAGAAACCCATTTTTGTTTTTATTATCATCTCTTCCCAGATTAGAGAAGTTAAAAAAGGTTAAATCAGCATTGATCAACAATTTCCTGCAGGATCAATAAAGTTCTATCTTATGTTTTCTATAAAGTTTTTTATTTGTTGTTTATTATTTTCTTTTTATTTTATTACTAAAACCAAAAGGCAATAGAAACTTACGACTCCAGAACAGCCAATAATGGGTCAGACTCCATGTTCTCCTGCATCTGACTGGCCTGGTCTCGACTAAGGCGGATGATATCACAAAGCGTTTGGGATGCATTGGATTGTCTCTGAATTTAATAAATTTAAAAAAATATATAAAAATCAGACAATTAGAACAGCCTTGTTGATACATCATCTAAAACACAGATGTGGAAGGACTCCCCCACCTCTCCTTTCCACTCACCTCCTCATCTTTGCCAGTATGGATAAGTTCTATAAGTCTCTGTACCAACTTCTCCTCATTCAGCCACTGAAACAAAACACACAAAAATAAAAGTCAACAACACTTTTGAATGGCCATGTTTTCAGCCAGGAAAGGTAAGTGATGTTTTGGTATCTTACATGCAGGACTTCCTGCCTTAATGGGGCAGGTTCCACACAGCTAATGAGGCGCAGCAGCAGGTCCATCATGGCAGAGGCGTCAATGTGTTTGAGCACCAGATCGATAAAGCCTTCCTTTTTCTTTAAAAATGTAATAACCTAAAAAATTCTAACGTTTAGTGTTTTGTTTATAAGCAAGTAAAATAACAAGCATATCGTCTCCCACATGTTTTGATGTGAGCATTTTCACCGCACCTGTTCAGTTTTCCTGGCAATGAGATTGCCAATGGTTTTGCTGAAGAAGCTGGCGAGCAGGGGGTTGAGGGGCGGGTCCTGCTCCAGGAAATGGTAGAGCACCTCAAGGAGTGACTCGTCCCCGCCAAGCTTATCATTTATTATGGTCACATCAGAGGTCAAGAGCTCACAAGCAATATTAGGAAACCTTACAGGGAAAAACAAAATGACAATTAGAAAATATCGCTGTCTAACTAAAGTTGTCAAAGTAGCAGACACAGGGTAAAATATGTTGTTTATTAAATTAGAATAAACCAATTTTGAATTGCATGGGAACCGCAGGGACAGCCTGAATGTTGTGGAAAAAACACAGAGCGCAATCAAAGATGAATCATAAATCAAATTATCTTTGTTTAGGAGAATATATTAAAATGGGTACGCTGAAATATATATTTTTACATAAATGTCTGTCAATTTTATTTATATAGCACATTTAAAAACAATGTTGACTAAAGTGCTTCACAAACAGAAAATTAGCAATAAAATAAATGAAAGATCAAGCACTAAAAATACGAACATGTACAAAAAAAAAATGGGCTAAAAACAAACAAACAAGAAAATATCAATCTAAGAGGTTCGGATGGAACTCAAACCAAACTCAAGTTAAAATCCAGAGCAAAAAAGTGAGTTTTAGGTGGGATTTAAAGGCCTGTTCAGACTCTGCACAATAAATATCAGTTCAATGGGCAGACTGGTCCAGAGTCTGGGGGCTGCCACAGCAAAAGCCTGATGCCCCTGCGTTTTAATTTTGCCCTTGGCCAAGCTAAACTCATCCGAATGGAAGATGTCAGTGTTCTGTTTGGATTATAAAAATGCAAAAAATCCATTAATTAACTGGGTGCACAGCCATTTAAAACTTTAAAAATCAGTAAAATAATCTTAAAATCAATCAATAAATTACTAAATAAATAAATAAACCAGGTCTCTCTTGTAAATGAGTCCCCAAGGCTCAATGGGATTAGCCTGTATGAATAAAAAGTTGAATGAATGAATGTGTTAAGGAACAGATAGCCTGTGTAAATCAGCTAAAACGGTAGTGATGTCTTCTAGTTCCTGTTAAAAGACGCGCAGCAGCATTCTGGACTACCTGCAGGCGATGGAGAGGATTGTTCCAAACCAACATATAAAGAGTTGCAGTCGGCCAGTCTAGGGGTGCACCGATAAATCGATTTCCTTAATTTTGGGAAATCGAAAATGGGCCGATGCATGAGAAACAGATTTTACAGATATTTTTAGTTTTAACAACAATTGTCTGAACTTCATTTATATTTTAGAGCACTACCTCATGGCCAGTTAAAACACGTTTGTATCGTTTCTAGGATGTTGTTCAAGGGTCTGTTTTTAATAAAATAATATTGGAACATTGAAGGTGCATTGTGACCTTATAACACCTGACAGAGTCGATTAGAAAACAAAATCGGAATCGGCAGGTCAGACTTTTTAGTAATCGGTGACCGGCCAGAAAACTGCAGTCGGGGCACCCCTGGTCCAGTTCGGTGAGGATGAAAGCGCGGAGAACAGTTTTGAGGTCTTTAAGAGGAATGTAAGATTTTGCTTTGACTATTTGATGTAGCTGATAAAAACTGCAGTCCTACCATTAAACAAGGAGGGCACCCCACCCTGTCAACAGAACTGAGCGCCCTGCCTACCAAACTGCCCCCGCACCCCCGAACTGACGTAGCGCTAAGCTAGCTGCGTGCAATACAGAAGCGCTAGCTAAAAAGCTACAGAGGCAGCGCTTTGTTCCCCTCACGCTGAGATGTCTACATCCCCCACCCCCGCTCGAAAACTCTCGGTACAAACAGCGCGCAACACAGACGTGTCTCTCCCCCCGCCCCCAGGGGAAATACTGAACTGGTTTTTACAACTGCAGATATTTGCTTATCAAGTATAACTGTCGAAAAACACCCCAAGATTCTTGACCACAGATAATTTTATAATAGAGCTGTCAATAGATTAAAAAAATGTAATCAGATTAATCACACTCTGGGGCTATGATTAATCTGATTAATCACTATGCTTAACTTTGTTAGCTTGAAATGTAAATGTGCAGGTTTTGTCATGATCAGCGGCCCCCGCTGGCCCCCCATCTGCTCACGTCTCTGCCCCTTCATGGTCACTCCTGCCAGTTTCCTCCACCTCCTGACTCCTCCATCCAGCAGCTACTAATAAAAACTGTTCTTGTTTTTCACTCCTGTGTCTGCCTTATACTGAATCCAAAACCTGCTCCTGACAGGTTTTCATAAAATGTCGAAGAAAATGTTTTATTGTGTCAAACCAAACAGTTTTCCAGGTTTTTATACGCAGCAAGGTTTACAGAAGTTATTTTGTTTCAAACATTTATGTTAACTCAAATGTCTCATTAAGCATCATCCATGTGATCAAAACATGTAACCCTTCTTCTTCCTTCTTTGATAAGACATCAGATTTCTTGTTTCACCAAATAGATATTAACATACAAAAAACAAATACCCTAAAAATTCAACTCTAGAGACAGGCTCTTACACAATATGAACAAAAATGCTTTTAGAGAAAAATTATTTGGAAAATTATAGAACGAGGTCATTTTAATTGAATGCGCTGCTCACTTCAGCTTTTGTATGTTTCCTCCACCACACACGACAGCAGGTGTGGAGATGTGCACGGCCACTGATACGCAAATCCATCCATCCATTATCTTTACCCGCCTCTTCCTTTTTGGGTCGCTGCTCACTGGTGCTCATGTCCAGCCTTCAGAGGCGGGGTACACCCTGGACACGTCGCAAGTCCATTTCAACCGGCGGGTCAGTGGACGCGCACAGCCGGTGACAGGTTGTCCATCTGAGCTTAACGTGGCTTTTTCTTTAAACCGGCCGGTCGGATCGGCCTCCTCCTCAACAAGTAGCTTACACAATTTAATTTTATATTGTGCATTCTCATTTAGTTTTCTTTGCGCTGTGATTCGTAAAAACGCATCACAGAAGTCCGAGCCCACGTGCGCAATTATTGCACAATGTACATATGTATGTACTATGTACATATTCAAGAGGATGATAAAAATTTATTTATTTTTTTTAAATATTAAGTATAATGTGAGCTCATAAAAATTGTTTACAGTTGATCTTATATTTTAGCTAAGTTTTTATTTTATTATTTTTTATTTTTTTATTAATTCATTTTGCTTTTGTATAGTAATTTTGTTTGGAATATATTTTGGGGACAAGGGGCAGATATTATAAGAACTCATTCTTCTTCTGCTGCCTTTCATTTTATTTCTGTGATTGTATATCTTTTTTCTTTTCTTTAAATTGTATTATATTTGTTGTTTGGATGAAATGAAATGAATAAATAAAACATACATACAATGCGCCAGTGATCCCTTCACAGTCTGATTAACTGCTGAACTCTTTCTTTCTTCATCCTCTCAACATTTAAACTTACTGCCTCTTCCTCTACAAGTAGATTAACAGAAGTTTCTATCATGCTTTCTTATTTTTTGTGTTGTATGATTCGTAAAGTCACATCAAAACCCGAGACCGGACAGCCACACATTAAGCACACACACATTATGGCCTGCCCGGCCAAATACGGGTCGGCCGACCAGGCTCCAGGCTCGGGTTAGAAATGGCAGCTCTACCTCTGCAGGATAGAGTCCCTTATAGGTTAATAGGTAATGTGATTAATCTACATTATGTAATATTAATGCGTTAATCTGTTTAGATTAATCGCATGCGTTAACGCGTTAACGTTGACATCCTTATAACAAAAATTATAAAATGACCAAATAATGATATAAGTATTGAAGAAACAAGGACAGTATTGTTGTTTATGAGAAATATCAAAATCCTCTGCCCACTAAACAAGGAGGGTGTCCCGCCATGTCAACAGAACCGAGTGCCCTGCCTACCAACCCCCGTCGACATGTGCCGGCACTTGCGTAGCGCTAAGCTAGCAGTGTGCAATACATCTGCGCTAGCTTAAAAGCTAAGCCACTGAGCCGTTTCTTTCACCCCCCCGGTCGACAACTGTCGGCACAAACAGTGTCAGCGTGCAGCACAGATGTCTCTGTCTACCCCCCCACCCCGGTCAACAGAAATCATGGAAGAAATGAGCACCCTGCCAAGTAACCTAGGGGAAACACTGCACATTATTTAATTAGATTGTACATTTTTCCTTCTCTTTGGTAAGGGAAACACTGAATATGCCATATTGACAATACTAAAAATGATACATGGACCATACAGTTTGTCTAGAGATGGTACTGACTAACATACGAGTTTGTTTACAATCCATCTGTTTTTTGTTTTCCATCTTTATTGTGCCAGTCAGAACAAGTACCATTGTTTGTTGTTTTATCTGTGCATTTTTTTTTGCTCCTTCAGCATTCTTTGTGCTATTTTAACATTAAGCATATCAAATGTTTAGTTTGATCAAGGATTGTGTAAAATTATTTAGTATTAACACCTTTTACAACTTTATCATATTTCTCATAAAAAATACAGTAAGGAAAATAAGTATTTGAACACTCTGCTACTTTGCAAGTTCTCCCACTTAGAAATCATGGAGGGTCTGAAATTTTCATCTTAGGTGAATGTCCACTGTGAGACATGATCTAAAAATAAAAAAATCTGGAAATCACAATGTAAGATTTTTTTAATAATTTATTTGTGTGTTACTGCTGCAAATAAGTATTTGAACACCTGCCCATCATCAACAATTCTGGCCCTCAAAGACCTGTTAGTCCTCCTCTATAATGTCCACCTCCACTCCACTTATTATTCTAAATTAGAAGCACCTGTTTGAGGTTGTTAGCTGCATAAAGACACCTGTCCACCCCACAGTCAGTAAGACTCCAACTACTAACATGGCTAAGACCAAAGAGCTGTCCAAATAATAATAATAATAATAATAATGTCATCACAATGTCAGCACTGTATGATTCCATACAATGGCGAAATTAGTCTCTGCATTTAACCCATCCACCACCAGGTGGTGCAGTGGGCAGCTATTGAAAGCGCCTGGGGGCATTTTGGGGATGAGGTGTGCTGCCCAGAGACACCACGCAGAGACACCAGAGACAAAATTGTAGACCTCCACAAGGCTGGAAAGTGCTACAGGGCAATTGTCAAACAGCTTGGTGAAAAAACATCAACTGTTGGAGCAACTATTAGAAAATGGAAGAAGCTAAACATGACTGTCAATCTCCCTCGGACTGGGGCTCCATGCAAGATCTCACCTCGTGACGCATCAATGATCCTAAGAAAGGTGAGGAATCAGCCCAGAACTACACGGGAGGAGCTGGTCCATGACCTGAAGAGAGCTGGCACCACTGTTTCCATGGTTACTGTGGGTAATACACCAAGATGTCATAGTTTAAAATCACGCACGGCACGGAAGGTTCCCCTGCTTAAATCAGCACACGTCCAGGCCCGTCTGAAGTTTGACCATGACCATTTGGATGATCCAGAGGAGTCATGGGAGAAAGTTATGAGGTCAGATGAGACCAAAATAGAACTTTTTGGTCTTAATTCCACTCGCTGTGTTTAGAGGACGAAGAATGATGAGTACCATCCCAAAAACACCATCCCTACTGTGAAGCATGGGGGTGGAAGCATCATGTTTTGGGGGTGTTTTTCTGCACATGGGACAGGACGACTGCACTGTATTAAGGAGAGGATGACCGGGACCATGTATTGTGAGATTATGGGGAACAAGCTCCTTCCCTCAGAGCATTGAAGATGGGTCATGGCTGGGTCTTCCAACATGACAATGACCCAAAGCACACAGCCAGGAGAACCAAGGAGTGGCTCTGTAAGAAGCATATCAAGGTTCTGGAGTGGTCTAGCCAGTCTCCAGACTTAAACCCTTTAGAAAATCTTTGGAGGGAGCTCAAACTCTGTTTCTCAGTGACAGCCCAGAAACCTGGCTGATCTAGAGAAGATCTGTGGAGGAATGGACCAAAATCTCTGCTGCAGTGTGAGTACACCTGCTGAAACACTACAGGAAACATTTGACCTCTGTAACTGCAAACAAAAATACTGTACCAAATATTAACATTGATTTTCACAGGTGTTCAAATACTTATTTGCAGCAGTAACACACAAATAAATTATTAAAAAATCATACATTGTGATTTCTGGATTTTTTTAAGGTTATGTCTCACAGTGGACATGCACCCAAGATGAAAATTTCAGACCCTCCATGATTTCTAAGTGGGAGAACTTGTAAAGTCGCAGAGTGTTCAAATACTTATTTTCCTCACTGTACATTGAAATCTGATGCAGCATACTTCATACCAGCAAATTCAGAAGGGATGAAAAAGGTGCAAAACCTAGCCCCCACCCCACCCCCACCCAAGATTTAGTGATTTTTTTTTTACATGAAATTTAAGCATTCTGGTAGGAAAAAACAACATGCTGCAAGTAAAAGACATTTAATAACATGTCCTAATTTAATGAGGACATACATAAGGCATCAACCAAAAAATAAACAATAAACAAATAACAACAGCAAACCAAATATAGCAGAATATTTTGCTAACAGGAAAAACTTTTTTTTTTTAATTTTGGCCTGAACAAGACTTTTAAGGCCCAGTTTCTACTGCTTGGCCAAGTTCCTCTTTTGTGCCCTTTGGCATCAGAAGCATTAGAAATTTTTGAATAAAGTAACCAGTAGATGCCATTTCCTGCATTCTGGTGTATTTTAACGAGTTGTTGAACATACAGTATATGTTTACCTACATAAATAAACACTTGATTCAATAACTATTTTAGAGCCATCTAACAAAATTAAATCAGGTCCTCTGGACGGATTTAAAAATAATTGTTGAACTTGTTGAGCATGCAGCAGGATATTTTAAAGACACCTCATTCAACTAGTCCATATCTGCAACATCCTGTTTTTAAACTCGCTCCTGTGGTTAGGACAATGAAATTAATGTGACAGAATTTATCACAATGACTTTAGGGGTGCACTTGACTTTTATTTTGTTAACTTTGAATTTTATTTGTAACAACATGCCATTGTGCTAAGGTGCCACTGAACTGCATGTTTAAAGAATATTAACTTTACCAAATGAACATTTTAATAACCTTTTACTGTTGTCTGATTTAGTGATAAGACTCTTAACAGAAAACGACTTGATATCATGCAGTCTTCACAACATTAAATCACACTGTGCCAAGCAAGTGACAAAAAACAAAACTAAATCATTTTAGTCAGTTTTGTCAACCAGAATGTAATTATTAAAACAAAATAATTTACAGGTTCCTTCCTACCTTGGTGCCACCATTTCTACACTTCATAACTTTTATTCTCCTTCACAATCCACTTAGAATAACATCCATCTCCTTCTCCCATTGTTTCCTTTCCAATCACTGATTTGACCAATTTTACTTTCCAGAAAACTTGTGTTACTTGGCTTCTTTCTCACTAACACCACCTTTCTCCTGTAGTGAACTAAGCCTCAGGTCAAATCTGGCCCTGAGGGCCTTCC